AAATCTAGTCCCCGTAGCAAGTGACATCATACAAATCTTCAACAATGGCAATTGAAGGTAACTGGAAGCTGCTCGACCTTTTGCGACGGCCAAACAGAAGGGCAGATTGTCCACCAGCGCCAGCACACGTCTCCCAAGACAGGCTGAGGACCTCAAGAGGTGCATGTACGCAACCACCAGGGCGTCGGCCTCCAGACCCAAGATGCCACGGCCCTCCTGGACCTGAGTAGCGACGACCCCCCATCCAAGCTTTGGCGTCCAAGAGCCCCGCGGGAACCTCGTCGAACCCCATCTGCTTCTTCAAAGAGCCCTCGATGTCCAGGTCCCCCTTGGCCTCCTGGAAGCCCTTGACGCCCTCGCACGGGCCCTCGAAGACCTCCGGCGAGCCAAGGGCAGCGTCCTGGTAGGTGTCCTGGGACATGTCCGGCACGCATGGCGAAGCCGTCGCGGTAGAATCTGGGGGCGATTCCGACGGCAGCCCGGGAGGCCAGGCAGCGGAGGTGGGTGGGAGGAGCGCTCTGTCTCTCGCACGCGCTCCGCCGGCGACTCGGTAGCGCCAGCGCTCGCACTGCCGCCCGCCACAGGCGATGAGGTCTACGGGCGCCTGACGCCGGCACACCCCGAGGCCCTCTTCACTGGCGTCGCTGGCGACCAGCCTCGAAGCCCACGGAGCCGTCAGATCGGCCACCAGGAGCGGCAGCAGGCAGCGCGCCCGCCAGAGCTCCGCGCGGACCGCCGGCCACAGCGTCTGCACCTCCGCGCCCGTCGAGGCGATGAAGGCGTAGGTGGAGTTGAGCAGCCCGAGCGCCTCGCGCCTGACCATGGACGCCCAGGTCAGGTGGCCGACGAGGACGCGGACCAAATGTCCCGAGGCGCGACCGCGGCGCAGGAGCTCCTCGATGGCGTAGCGGAGCCTCCACACCATGCGCCCCTTGATGGCCAGCCAGCGCCCACGCCGCAGCTCCATGCCCAAGAAGCTGCAGCTGTCCGCGGCCTGCTCGGGCGCGCGCGCCCGCAGCCCGACGCCCTCCAGCTCCACCGCGACGCCGGCGAGGGCCCGGTCCGCCTCGGCCTCGACCGAGCTGACCGCCAGGTAGTTGTCGACATACCCGGCGACGGCCGCCTGCCCCTCGGGCCAGATCACCACGCTGGGCAGCCCATCCTCGATGACGAGCTGGCGGGGCACCCCCGCCCGCTCGATGCCCGCCCGGAGCGACAGCTGGCACATGTGCAAGGCCCACGAGAAGCCCATGGGCAACACGACGAGGCAAGCCTGCACACGCTCCGTCGGCGGGAGCCCAGCGACGCCCCGAGCCTCCAGATGCCGACGAGCGATAGGCGGCAGCCGGAAGTAGTCCAGAGCCCGTCGGAAAGCTCCAGCCGATAGAACGCGTTGTCCACGTCCCCGGCTGCGACGACCACCCGACCACCAGGCGCCTCCAGGTTGGCGAAGGCGGCTGCGCTCGGCAGCGCGGTGGCGGGCGGGTCGGCGAAATAGGCATTCGCTGTACGAGTGTCGAAAATCAGTCTCAGACGGCCGCTATTCTTTGCCACGCAGAAGACTCCAACTGGCTTGATGCTGGGATCCTCCGCCTGGAAGCAGACCATCTTGCGCTTAAACATCTCAGCAAGGAAGTCGCCGTAGGTGACGGGCGAGAAGGAGAGGTGCGGGTCGACGCACGGCCCGCGGGGGCAGACCTGCTGCAGGAGGGCATCAGCCTCACCTCGGTCACGCAGCATGCTCGAGCTCCAAGCCCTGAGCCACTGAGCGTCCGGGCCAGCAACGACGTCCGTGATGGGGACGGGATCTTCGCCAACATCCGGCCACGAGATCAAATCCCGCGAGTGGGGCCGCCGCGGCCCCCCCGAGCTGTAAAGCGGGGAGCCGTCGAGGAGCTCACTGAGAGCTCCGTCATCAAAACCTTCGCCAACGGGGAGCGACTCCAGGCTGGCGAACGCGGACTGGACGTGCTCGAGCGACGCCCGCTGATCTTCGGCAAGTCCGACGGCCGACGGCTGGGCCCCAGGAGCGCACACAGCATTCATGACATCGATCGCATCATTGGCCCAGTCGCGCCCGTGCTCGGATGCGCCTCGGCGGCGACGAGCGCGACGACTGCGTCCGAAAGGTGGGTCCTCGCCCGGCCCCGCCAGATAGGGCAGCGGGAAGAGATCTCGCTGACGCTCTCCAGCATGAGCAGAGCGAAGGGGAGAAGGTGACTGGCCTGCAGCAGGGGCGGCGCCAGCCAATTGGCAGGCTGGGGGGGGCGGGCGCCCATCTCCGCCCCCCGCTCCGAGGTCACTTATCATTCTCGCCAAAGCCCTCGCCGTCGTTGCCCTTCTTCTTGCCTTTGCCTGACTTTCGGGGCAACACGCGCTCCGCTCCGGCTTTTCTCTGCTTCATGCGGTAAGCATTCTGCCTGGACATCTCGTCCTTGCAGAACTCCTGTAGCGCCGGGACGACGCACACGTTGCCGCAGCGCTGGTCCGTCCCCAACATCTCGTGGCCGTTCTCGTTCGGCGTGTCCACGGCCGGCGCGAGCCTGTCGCGGTACCGTTCCCTCTGGAGCTGCACCGCCCGCGCCAACATCTCGCCTGAGGCGAGATTCGCCACATTCAGCTGGACGTACACCACCATCCGCTCTAGAATACGGCAGGCTCTATCGTGCTCCTCGACGCCAGGCTCATCACCAGCGAACCGCGTCTCTAAGAGCCATCTGGAGCATCTTGAGGTCACGTCGGTCCTTCTTGGAGCGCTCTTGTGCTGTCTTGGGGGTCTCTGGGACGTCTCCGATGACCCCCTCTGATCGCCCTAGGCGTGCGGGGAAGGCTTGGCAAAACGCCCTGCGACGAGGCTTGGGGGGCCGCTTCGAGGCCAGTCCAGAGGGTCCCAAAGCCCCAGATCCCGGGAGTCCGGTTTTGGGGGGTCCCCCCCCCCCGGGCCTGCAAAAATAGAGGAAGAGGAATACATATACACATACATACATACATACATACCTACCTACATACCTACCTACCTACCTACCTACCTACATACATACATACAGACACACATACATACATACATACATACATACATACATACACACACATACATACATACATACATACATACATACATACGTACATACATACATACATACATACATACATACACACATACATACATACATACACACACATACATACATACATACATACATACATACATACATACATACATACATACATACATACATACATACATGCATACATACGTACGTACGTACATACATACATACATACATACATACATACATACACACACAGGCAGGCAGACAGACAGACAGACAGACAGACATACGTACATACATACATACATGCGTTCATACATACATACATGCATACATACATACATACATGCCTGCATGCATACATACATACATGCATGCATGAATGCATGCATACATACATACATACATACCTGCATACATGCAGACATGCAGACAGGCATACCTACATACATACATACATACATACATACATACATACATACATACATACATACATACATACATACATAACATACATTTACACATACATAGAGACATACATACATATATGCATGCATGCATGTATGCATATATGCATGCAGGCATAAATACATATATGTATGCATATATACATACATACGTACATGCATGCATGCATAGATGCATACATGCATAGATCCGTACATACACACATACATGCATGCATATATACATACCTGCGTACATATATACGTATATGCATACATATATGCATATGCATATACGTATACACATACATACACGTATACACATACGTATACATACACATGGTCATAAACATATCCATGTATATGTAAATGCATATACAAATATATACACATACGCATATACATATACATATGCATGTGAATCTACATATACAGATACGTATACATATACATGTACATATATATACACATATACATATACATATACATATGTCTATACAAATTCATATACCTATACATATGCATATACGTATACAAATACATATACATATACATATACATATACATATGCATGGATGCCGTGCCTGTGTGCGTGTGCACATGAGGCTCTCTTGAATGTAGTCTGTGTCCAGGGCCTCTTGGAGGCCTCTTGGAGGCACAGAAAATCTATGGATGTGGCCTTTCTGGGCCTTCTTGCGGGTACTCGTTGGGGCCTCTGGGGCAATTCCACTCCCATTCATTCTGCTGCTCCTCCCGCTCCTGCCATGCTCCTCCCATGCCTTCCATGCCCCTATTCCTGCCACTCCTTGTGGTCCTCATACTCCTCTCTTTCCTTCCACTCCAGTTCCTGCTGCTGCTGCTGCTTCTGCTGCTCGTCCCCGTCCTCCTCCTTCATCATCCTTCTTCTCCTCCTGCTCGCCCACCTGCTCACCCACCACCTCCTCCTCCTCCTCCGGCGTACGCTGGTCCCCTTTCCAAATTGCGCATAACACGACGGGGCCTTTCTGTTGGAGCTCCAGGTCGGCCATGGCACGCGCCCGCGTATAAAGAAAAACCAGCATCGTGGGAAGGGATGCGAGGGATAGGATGTCAGATGTGGCGCGAGCGCACCAAGCCTGCCCCCTCCCCCTTCGCCTCCCCCCACCCGCTGGCTACACGAAAGAGCGACCCTAGGTATGCCTGACCTTGGGTGAGCGGCTTCTCGGAGGCCGCGGGGGGGGGGGGGCGGGGGGGGAGCCAAACACGAGCGCGCAAGACGCCAGTGCCGCCTTGCGTTCGGCGATCGGGGGACCCCACTGGGCCCGCACCAAAGGTCATTCTGGCGAAGAGCTCCTCCTCCTCCTCCTCCTCCTCCTCCTCCTCCTCCTCCTCCTCCTCCTCCTCCTCCTCCACTCTAACGCCTCGTCGAACCCGGCCCTCCGCGATTGCGAGGCCGCCGAGGCCTTCCCCCCCCCCCCACCCCACCGCCAAGGGCCCCCCCAGCGGCTCCGGCCGGCCCCGACGCGGCAGGCCCGCCCGGGCGCAGAGCTCCCCCGCGCGCGCGAAGCAGCGAGCGGCCTCGCCCGAGGGACGACGGCCGACACGCCGGCGACCACCACGACGGCGGCGGCGGCGGCGGCGGCGGCGACCACGACGGCGACGGCGGCGACCACCACGGCAACGTCAGCGGCGACGGCCAGCACAACAGCGACGGCGGCGGCGGCAACGACGGCCACCACGACCACGGCGGCGGCGGCGGCGGCGCCGGCGGCGACGGCGACCACCACGACGGCGGCGGCGGCGGCGACGGCGACCACTGCGGCGGCGGCGGCGACGACGGCGAAGGCGATGAAGACCCCCGACGTGGACCCCCCGAGGCCTCGGCCCCCGTCCCCAGAACCAGTTTTTCATCCTGCGTGGTTTTTTGGCGGCCCCAGGACTGGGCAAGGGCCCCCAGACGCCGAAAACGATGACAAGCCTCAGTTTTGATTCTTGCAATGACGACCACAGCGACGACTGCGGCGGCGGCGAAGGCGGCAAAGACGACGCCTCCAGACATCCAGCGCTCTAATTGATTCGATGCGTGGACCCTCTCCAGTGGTCTGGACCACTTGCCTTGGGCCAGTTCTTCGTCCTGAGCCGCTATGATTGACGGCCCTGGGGCCCGTTGAGAACCCCAGGAGGCCGAAAATAGCCATCAACCAGCCGCTCACATTTATTGGAGCCTCGCATCTCTGGGCTGGCGGCGAAGACGACGATCACGACCACCAAGGCCGTGCACGGCCACAGCAAAACCGACAGGCCGAAAGCAGCTTAGAAATGCGCAGCCACGCGGCAGCGGAACAATAGCCCACCGACTGCGACGGGACCGACTGCGACCGAACCGTGAACATTCTTGACCACCCTCACATCCGAGGTTGCCCCCCCAAAAAAAACATCGCAATAAATCACGCCCGGAGCCCTGGACCCCATCTTTCCGCGTCATTTCTCGAACCGGATCGATGTGTGAGGGTCCCAGGGCCCGAAACCGAGCGAAAACGCCCAATGTGAAAAAATTGCAGCGCCAGGATCTCAGGGCACGTCGACGACCACGACGACGGCCGACGGCGGCGACGACCACGGCGGCGGCCGCAAGGTCCTCCGCGCCCCGATCGGCGAGGCGGTGCCTGCGGCCCTGGGCCCACAAGGCCCGAGCCTCGCAGGCCGCGGCGAGCAGCGCCGCGCACGCATCGTGGCCGCCGCGCACGGCGAGCGTCAGCGGCCGCTCCTCGCCCACGGCCTCCGAGGGGCGCGAAGGTCGTTGGGCTACGGCCTCCTCCTCCTCCTCCCCCCCCCCCCCCTCCTCCTCCTCCCCCCTCCTCCTCCTCCTCCTCCGCCTCCTCCTCCTCCGCCTCCTCCTCCTCCTCTTCTTTCTCCTGCTTCTCCTCCTCATAATCATCATCAGCATCATCCTTTCACGTTAGACCGACCTTAGCTGACGCTGTAGCGTTTGTGAAAAATGTGCACGCGGCTCGACCCAAGCACAAAAAGGAAACCTGGCGGGCGCCGCGGGCCAACTGGAAAAACGAGCCAAGGAAATCTTAGACAATTGAGCAGGCGCCAGCCAAGTCAATGAATACGTGCAGCTCTGGTACCCTAGTATCCTCTCCGCGACACCACTACCCCATGAAGTCCGCTGGCCCCCTTGTGGGGCCACCAGGCTGTAGGCCGGAGGTTCGCAGTTTCCTGTACCAGTTGCAGCTTCCAGTGTCCACTGTTACAGTTCTGCTTCTTGCTGCTTACTGTTCCTTGTTGACTTCTTGCTGCTAACTGTTCCTTGTTGATGGACCGCGCAAGGGGGAGAGGCCCAAAACAGGCATTTTTACCACGCCCAAAACGTATTGTCTGAATTGCTGGGGTGGATAAATATTGACACCCCTCACGCAGATCGGCGGGGTGAGGGTCCAAAAACACATGGGATTGGCCACATTTCTAAAATCCGGTGGCACCTCGCACGCAGATCGGCGGGGTCAGGGTCCAAAAACACACGGGATTTGCCACATTTCTGAAATTCGGTGGCACCACACACGCAGATCGGCGGGGTCAGGGTCCAAAAACACAAAAAGGATTTGCCACACTTCTGAAATTCGGTGGCACCACTCACGCTGATCGGCAGGGTCACATTCCAAAAAAACAAAGGATTTGCCACATTTCTGAAATTCGGTGTCACCCCTCACGCAGATCGGCGGGGTCAGGCTCCAAGAGCACAAGGGATTTGCCACATTTCTCAAATCCGGTTGCACCTCTCACGGAGATCGGCGGGGTCAGGGTCAAAAAAACACAAGGGATTTGCCACATGTCTAAAATTCGGTGGCACCTCTCACGCAGATCGGCGGGGTCAGGGTCCAATTACCCTGTGGCGTACCCAACCATTTCTATACATGTGGCGATTATACTCAGGACCATTCAATGCTGATTGGCATTTGAAGGACCCGCAGTGCGCAAGAAGAGCACCCAACAGTGACTTCAGAAGAGCGCAGCAAGACGAAGAACGGCAACTATACAAAATGGAAACACAGGGGCGTTGAAAGAAACGCGTATAACGCACCTCCGAATGATCCACGTGGGACGTACCTCCGCTGGGCCTCCCAGGAGCCCACGAAAATGGCGACAGTTGCACAGATCGCAAGCCCCCCAGGGGGCGGCGAGGTCCCGAGGTGATCCGCGTGGGACCCACCTCCGCTGGGCCTCCCAGGAGCCCACGATAGTGGCGACAGGTGCGCAGATCGCAGGACCCCCTGGGGCGGCGAGGTCTCGAGGTGATCCGCGTGGAACGTGCCGAAATGGCCCGAGGCCGCCATGCGAACCCTGGCACTGGGGCCTTCGGTGGAGCTCCCTATTAGGCAACGATCCTCGTGAGGCGAGGCGAGGCGAGGCGAGGCGATGCGAGGCGCCGGTCAGTCGCCCCGGCGGGGACGGCCCTACGAGAGCCCGGCGGTGGCGCTGGAGCGCCGAGAAAGAACTTTAGTCGAGGGGGGAGGAGGGAGGAGGAAGGACTCAGACCGTGAAATGGGAGTTTCGCACACAATCCCCACTTGACATAAGCCAATAAATTCGGCTCCAACGCCGAACATGCTTTCTTGTCCGTCGCAATGTGCATCCACCTCTTGTGGTCGTCGTCTCCGTCGCGTGTAGTGACTGTGCGTGCGAATTGTGTGAATTCGGCATCCCATGTTCTCCGTTGTCCTCCGTGGCGTCGTAGGGTTTGGCGTGGGTCGTGGGCGTTCGGGGCCCATTGTAGTGAGAGCCGCGCCCATCTGTCGTAGTCGTGGGCTACCACGCGCGATGCTCTAGGGCTGCGTGCGTCGATCTTCGCACGAATTCTTCCCATGGTTCCAACCCGTCGTCGTCTTCTCCGTCGTCGGCTCTGTCGTGGTGGATGGGGGAGTCTGCTGCGTCGGCGCCGGTCGTTCCGTTGGCGTCAGTGTCGCGAATGTGGTTTTGTATATTGCGACGCCTTGGCATCCCGATGACAAGCCCGAGCATCCTCCGCTGTGCACGCCGTAAAGTGAAAAGCATGTCGATGGTGAGGGTCCAAAAAAGAGCACCCGTACATCACTGATGCTGTGATTTTTCCGTTGAAAAGCCTCAGTCGACTGTGGAGTGGGAAACGCTTGTGTGTCAGCTCGTATCTAAATTGGTTGAAGCGACCCCATCCTGCGGCAATCCTGTTGCGTAGCTCTGTCTGGTGGAAGTCGTGAGAAGTAAGCTTCCTTCCTAAATACTTCGTGCTCTGGTCGGAAAGCAATATTTCGATGCGTTCGCCGTTGAAGTCGACATGAGAAATTGTTCTCCCCTCTCTCTCTGGCTGACGTTCGTCAGGATATTGGTCTTGTCCGGGCGCAGTGCCAAATCGCATATCTTGGCTTGGGATTGCACATCTCGGAGCAAGCAGGAAAGTTGTCGTAAGTTGGGGGCGTAGGGCAAGACATCGTCGGCGAAACGTAGATTTGTGATCCGTGCTAGTGGCGCGAAGCCTAGTTGGATCCCGAAGTTCTTGCGCTGCCACTCAGGATGAATGTGTCTGAGCACCTGCTCGAGGACAGCATTGAACAAGAAAAAGCTCAGTGGGTCAGCCCTGCTGGTGGTGCCTGTGCTGACTGTTTGCGCTCGGATGCAATACAACTGTTTGAAGAAGTTGTTGTATGCAAGGGCTATGTGCTGTTGTCGCAAAGCTTACCATAATTGCTCGTGGTCTACACGGTCGAACGCCTTCTTAATATCGATCGCTGCTGCCCACAGCGGTAGCTGCCACTCGTAGGAACCCTCATGTACGATGGCAGAGGTGAACAGGTGGTCCTCCGTACAATAATCCTTCCAGAAGCCTGCTTGGTCAGGGCATTGTTGCGAGTCGAACAGAAAGCTCAGACGGTTGCAAAGGAGGCGAGACATAAATTTGTTGAGCAATGGGATAGTGGCAATCGGTCTGCAATTGCCTGGGAGTTGTGGGTCTCCTGATTTGTAAAGCACGGTGACTGTGGTGATCTTCCACTGGTCCAGTGGTGTCTGATTCGGTTTGATGATGTCGCTGCAGAGTCGGAGTAGGCGGCATTGTATGGTAGCGCCCCCAGATTTGAGCATTTCTGCTGTGAGCCCCGCGGTGTCTCTGCACTTGTCGTTCTTGAGTTGTTTGATTGCTTGCTGGAGTTCGGTTGCGGTGAAGGTGGGATGGTTGAGTCGTGCTGAGTTGTCGTTGGGGTGTCGCGGAAGCTGTCTGAACGGTGCGGATTATTGTGTAGCTCCTCGTAGGAGGTTGCGAATACGTCTGCGATGCTTTGCCTGTGTGTCTCAGTGACATCAGGTGTCTTCATTGATGCAATTAGCTCTTTGTGCTTGATGGCTCTTAAGCCAGCTATTATCTGCAGGCCGTTGAAATGGCAAACCATGTGTTCGAGCTTGGCGTTCATCTCATTGCGTTTGATGGCCCTTGTCTGCCGCATGATTTGCTTGCTGAGGGACCTTCTGGTAGCTGGGTCCCTTGGTGAAGTAAAGCGTCGTTGTTGGATGAGTGCTTTGAGCCGTGCTGTCGGACCGTCGTCGGGGATATCCGGAAGGTCTCTGATGCCTTTCTCGTGGCTTTCCTGGTAGTCCTTGTTTGCAAGCTTGAGCCCTTCTCCGATGTCCTGGCATCTGCAGTCCAGGTCGGCGTCGTGGTCCTGGTTTGCCAGATGCTCTTGAAGGCACTGCTGGAAAAGAGGGTCGTCAGCTGCAGGTTGGGAGCGCCTGTGGTGGCGCGTTTGCTTGTGTCTCCTCTTCCTTCTCGCCGTAGTCCTGAATGCCAACTTGATGTGCACTGCTTGGTGGTCGGAGCCGAGATCTGGGACGTTGGAGGCAAACGAATAAATCACCTGGTTGCGGCGTGCTCTGTCTATCAGGATGTAATCAATTTGTGTCTGAGTCGGCTGTCTGCCACTGCTCGTGTAAGTGAAAAGGTTGTGGTGGTGCTTGTAGAAGAGAGTGTTTACAATGATCAGCTTACGTGTGCTAGACCAAGTACGGAGCCACGTTCCTCGCGGGCTGCACGTGCCCAGTCCGAACTTGCCTGCCGTGCTCCTCCGGCCCAAGGTCTCGGATCGTTCGTCGTCGTCTTTGCCGCCGTCGTTATTGTCAAGGTGTCTACCAACCTGTGCATTGAAATCCCCCGTAAGGAATGATGCATGTCCGCTTGTCTTGGGTAGCGGCGGCGCGCAATGAATCCAGGTGGTCGTACATGTGCTGGATGTGAACGTCTGCGTATCCGGAGTGAGGGAAATACGCCGTCACGACTTTCATGTTCTGTTCTGGGATGTCGATGTCGATGTAGGCGATTCGCTCGTTGATGGCCTCGAAGCATCTGATATGCCAGACGCGTTGCCTATGAACGAGAAATGCAACTCCTCGCGACGCGTCTGCGTGGCCGGATGCTGCAAACAAATGGTTGCCACGGCTTATGATCCACATCTCGCGAGAATCAGTTCTCCAGGTCTCGTTGATAGCAAGAACATCCCAGTGTACGTCATTCTATTCATACAACAACTTGTCTATGGAATCGTCCGTTGTAAGACTTCGCACATTCTTGTGGATGATGGTAAATGGTTGGGGTGACGATGGATGTGATGCTCGATTTTGCTGATTGTGCTCTTTCTCGTCGCCGTCGTTGCTTTCCCGTGGGCGATTTCGGCATGCTGATTGGAACGTCGCCATCCGCCGTGCTACGTTTTCCTCGTCCTCCTCGAGTGCTTCGTGAATTGGTCTGTGTAG